GTACCCATGCAGTAGACACTTTATCAGAAAAGCTTTCAAAATTGAACATTTCATATGCTGAGGTAATAAATGGAATAGCTATTTGGAATCTTGTCAGAATTTTAATTTTCATATAAAAGCCAGAAAGATAAAAAGAAAACGAAAAAGCAAGAACGCCAATTAATGAGTACCCCCCAACTATTTGGTTTAAAATTTTTATTTATTTTACATTACATGTTAATTTATTTCAAATTTAATATTTCTTTGAAATATTGTTGGGGACAAGTTTTTTTATATACATAAAAATGATAATCGTTTTTACAAAATTGGTGAACAAAATATATATATATATATATATATATATATATATATATATATATATATATATATATATATATATATATTCACAACGTGTACAAATATATAAAAATAATAATTCTTAAATAGAGACATTTACAATAATTTGAATCCAGTACATTATATTGTAATTTCCAATATTTTGTTAAATCTCACGATTGATAATGTTATTGCTCAAAATAAACCATGAAAAGGTTTTTAAAATCAAGTTATTTTTGAAAAGTGTTTTAAAAGTTATAAATATTTGATAAATTATATCTAAACTTTATATAGTATTGACATGAGTAATATATCAGTTTGCAATCAATATAGAAAAATACTAATACTAATCAATTAATAGAGTAATCTCTTCAGTTAATAGATTATCAAAGGTTTGTCATAGAAAGTAGTTAATTACACAGCCAAATTTTTATTGATCAAAACTATATATTATTCTTTTGGGTCATTTCTTTGCTCTCATAGAAGAAAAAGTGTCACTAAATTGAGTGTAATATTTTACTTCATTATAATTCATAAGTTTTAATAATTTTTATGCGATAGAATGTGTATAAAGAATGTGTAACACCACACCACTCCTCTTATTAGTATTAGATTGTAAAAACTTGTAATGAACATACCTAAAATAAATTGGTGCATGGCATGATTTATGGAGGAAGAGAAAGCATTGGAATGGAAAATATGCGTGTGTGGAGAAAGCAACCATGTTGGGTAGCAGCAACAAAGTGCACTTTAGGGACCAAAATGTGTTGATATATACAGTATACATATGGGGAACCTGCAGGTTGTCATTTCCAGAGATGACACATGCCATGGGACACTAAAGCAACAACATAACTATGCCCTAATATATCATACGAAGACAACCTCATTTTCCATTTACCAACCGGCAAACACCACAAACCTAGCCCAACCTTTGCATATCCAACCACAATGCTTCATTATATCCCACACACAACCTCATGTAAATTTCACCAACTCATCTAAGACCATGCCTTTAACTACAGTGTCATTTCGCATTTTCATCAAATGTCAATCAATAACCATCAATATATCCAATTTCATGGTAAAGTCGCTCGTCAAAATCCTAGCTCACACTCTGAACTTGGTTTGAGTGTGATCTAATCATGCAATGCAAAGACAGAAGCTAGCTAACACCTCCAACGATGTGTGCGTGCGAGAGAGATAGGGTTGGTAATTAGTAGCTCTGATGATACGAGTTTATAATTAATTAAACACGTTAAATGAAATGTGACAAGTTGAAAACACAATTATGATAATGGATTAGAGAGGACATAGTAGTAGTGTAGAAGTTGATTGAAGATAACGCGAGTGAGCGCGTGCGAATGAATTGGGATTGTAGCATTGGTGAAGAGAAGAAACAGAGTTGAAATGTTGGTTTGGAGCTGCGACATAATGATTGAGTTGGAACTTATCTCTTATTCCTTTTTCTGTTGATTCTGTTGTTTCATCTACACACATGTCATGGAGTAATAGTGAAGCAATTAAATACCTTTTTATGTTATGCTCACACTCTCACACCATTCTTCCCATCACACACTTGTAAAAGATATGCATAGTTAGATACTACTTCTTTTCCACATGCATCACCACCACCACACACACACACAACCAATGTTTGTCTATGCAAATTGCGTAAAGGATATTTCCTCCCCAATACACAAACATTCTTATTTTTACCTCAACAAGAAATAGAGGATTTCACAAAAATAGTGCATTTTCTTTTTTATATTGCGAAATTAATGAAATTTTAAATATTATAAAATGGGATCAATAGTGCATAAAAAGACAATTTCATTATTTACTATCGCAATTTTTATTGTGTGTTTTAAAATAAAATTGAATCCGTTGTTTAAAATACAACCTCGGTTATATTTTATGATGAAATTTGAATAGTATAGAGAAACACAGTTTAATAATACAATTTGAGTAGTATATAGACGCACGGTTTCAAGTTAACTAAATTGTACTTCTTTATAACTTTCAGTTTAATAATAACAATAATAATATTAATCATGATTAAATAATTATAATTATTAATGACATAAATAATTATGAGCATATTTGATTATTCTAATTAATGATATTAAAAATTAGTATTATATTAAAATAATAATTATTAATTATATTAATATAAATAATAATATTATTAATAATTAATATTAATGATAATTCATATTAATATTAATTAAATTGATGTTTCTAATAATGACTTTAGTTTCCTTTTAAAAAAATAGGAACCATGCTTGTAAACAAGATTTTTGAACAATGGAGTCATCATTTATTTATTTTTATAGTTTTTAAAAATTTATTGATTTTCTTAATTTCAAAAAAAAAATTATACTACATTCATAAAAATATCGCATAAATAATTATTTAATGGAATGGCAGTGAAAAAGAAAACTAATGTGAACCTCTTTTAAATTTGTCTAAATTAATGAGAATAATTATTCTTTTTAATTTAGACAATTGTATAACAATTAAAAAGGGATAATATGTGTTAATTTTTAAATATAGTCATATTTAATTAATATTATTTCACTATATTTTTCTTTTTCGTTTTTTCTAATAGATAATCAATAATTTAGTCAAATGAGTCTAATCAAATTGGTTGACTAGGTTTATGTGTTATTGTAAAATTAATAAAAATTAATGATTAATAATTACTAAATTAATGTTACTAATATTTTGAACAAAACTGTTATATGGTCTTTCTCTTTTTTATATTAGCAGATGTATCATCCTTTCACCAAAAAAAAAAAAACTTTAAATATATAGGCATTTTTAGTAAATAAAATCCCATTAAATAGTATGTTTGTTTAATCAAGTGAATGCAGACGAAAAAATTCAACCATTGAAAGCAACAGTAGAGGATACTAGGAATCTTCAACTGTGTCAATTTTAAGCTTCCTCTTTTGTCTGGCACACAGGCTGCACCCAATTTTTTTTTTTCTTCCCTCCGCGTGTACAAATATAATTTATCTCATTTGTATGGCCATAAAAATACTTATTTACATATTTTATATTCAAAATATTAGCATTATTGCTACTTTTACATATTTAAATTGAGAACAAACTCTTGAACGTTCTAAATATTAATGATTATTATATTATCTTTCACAGACGTCTGTCTGATTTGTTAATATTAAATGTTTTTTTATAATTAATATCTTAAAAATAAAAATATTGACACAAATTTAACCTTACTTTCATGTTTTGGCCAATATTATATTAATGATGGTGTGTCATATCAGTTAAACTCAGTCTTTCATTTTTTGTCATATCAATTGGAAAAAAATTCAAAAAGAAGAAGAAAATTATATGTAGAATTTTCATCTCTCCATCATTCTTTGGCCAGCTTGTTGAACCTGACTTTTCAACCTCACCTTAGCATTTTATGGGTTGACTAAAGGAATATAATCTAGTAAGGATTCTAATTAGGTTGAATCCGTTCTTAATTTGAAACCTCATGTTTTGTGTGATTCTGGATCGGGGTTGTTAAAAGATATGATGAGCAACTCTGTGAAGAGTTAAATTAAAAGGAAATCAAAATTTATTCTAAAGGCACATTTTTACAAGTGCAAATTCACTTGTGTTACAATAAAATCATGTTGAATTGGTAATATGCCACCATTTATATGGGGAAAGTGCAATTATTTGTCATTTATATAATTTCCAGACTATATTTTGTGACAGTGTTTATTTCAAGAGTAGCATATCAAGGAAGACAAATTCCTCACAAAGATAAAATTATAAATGGTAGTTAAGTCGCAATTACTTGTGATTTTAATTGAAAGGGGTGAATGGAGATGAAAAGGGGAGTTTGAAGAGCTAAACAGTTATTTTGCTTTGTTGTGAACTAAAAAAGTCTAATTCCGACAATTGATACACTCTTGTTGAGTTCCAACTTTTGATGTACACACTACAATACACACACTCGTTTCTCTTTAGACCTTTTTTCTTTGCGGCATGGCCTGGCGCTTGCACTGAAGATTTTTGTGTTTGCCCCGCGTGCGCTGCTTAACGTTTTAAACATTTTTTTTTTTTTTGTTCCTTTTCAAAACATTAAGACCAAGACCAATTAATTAAAGTCAAGTCTCAAATTCGCATTATCACATAACAACTTCAACTCTTCTGTCCCTCACCACACCCACCCCACCGACTGACCGGCCACCGCCGCAATCAGCGCCCCTTCCTCGTCCACATACATTCGTCAATCCATGTTTCCTTATTTTCTTAAAAATTGCAACTTCACAACAGTTTCTCAGTCGTAGAGAAGAACAAAATGAACTTTGGCAAAAAGAAAAGAACCCCATAACTCTTACAAGATAACATCTGGACAAATATACATTACAACATTCTTGCATCTCAACCATCCTACTTATTAAGCAAAGGAACAACAAGTATTACAAATTATAATTTAAACAAAACTTCACTCTCAACTCATCCCCGTTTGTTATTTGTAACGGAGTATACAACTACATAAATGCGCAAATAAAGATTTTTTCTTTAAGGAAAAATTAAACATGAACTAATTTATTTAATATTTTTACCACCGGACCCAAAATCTGCCGGAATAGGCAGGCCGGAAAGAGAAGGATTCACTGTTTGTTGACGAATCAGGAATCACCGTTGAGTGATAAATCTCAGAGCAGAACGAGAGGATCAGAACCTAACAAAATGTCTTGGAAGTAATCGTCCACTTGGCAGAGGGTAGATGGAGGACACGCTTTGTCGAAGTCTATGAGCGAATCAGCAAGCAAAATACTACCACTGTCACTGAAACCTTCGTCCGAGGAAAACGCCATCATTTCGCCCAACATCTGGGGCTCGTGTAATCCATGCTCTTCTTCAAACAGAAGAGGGTACTCGGGGGTTTCAAAATTGAACACGTCATCCCACGCAGGCATGTTGTCCAGTGCCAAAAACTCTCCCGTTTCGTCGAACAGACTCGTTTCAGTCTCACCTTGACACTCTCTGAACACTTCTTCTGTTTTCTCAGAATTTTCTTCGCTTGAGTTGCTTCGGAAGTGGAGCACCGAAGTGGGAGAGGAGAGGTTGTGGTGGCAATGATCCTCTCCGGAGTCGTACCCAGACCCAGAGTTTTCTTCCGTCACTGCGACCTTCATTTCCTGAACCTCTGCCGCCGCAGACTGTTGAGGTTCTATTTGCGGCGGTGTTCCAAAGTTTGTCAAGGCGTCAGGGCCGCGAAGCCTAATAGCAGCATTGTCGTAGACCATGGCGGCTTCTTCTGCAGTGTCGTAGGTTCCCAACCAGAGACGCACCCTTCTTGCCGGATCTCGAATCTCCGCGGCCCATTTCCCCCACGGTCTCTGGCGGACGCCACGGAACTTCTTGCCGGCATGGAGCTTGACTGGGCGGCGGCATGGCTCGGCTGCAGCCCTCTTGCGAGCATTGGAAGGGATGTTGGTAGTGACGGCGGCAGTAGCTGTTTCTATCTCAATCTGGTTGACGTAGCTCTTGATTCTTTGGCGGACGAAGGGGAAGGCTTCGTCGTCGCCGGAGGAGTCGGTGGCGTCTGGATCAGTGTATGATATCCGGACTATTCTGCGCTCTGAGGTGGAATTGGATTGAGATTTTTTGGATGAGAGGAGCTTCTTGGTGACGCTGTGATGTACTGTGTGTTTGCATAGGATACTCTCTTCCATGACTATTATTATGGGTGGTATTATTATGTGTGTGCTGCTACTGTAATGACGGTAGCGGGCAATAGAAATAGGCGTGGTTTGGGAATAGAAGAGAAAGAATCGTAAAAGAGAAGGATTGAAGTTGGGATAGGCAGTGGAGGGGTTTTATGTGGGGAGAAATGTTGGAAAAGGTGAGGGAGGGTTAAAAGGAAAGAAAAAAAAAAAAGGGGGGGAAAGGAAGAAATATTAGAAACGGAAGGGAGTAGACATGGTTGGGAGTGATAGGAATAAAGAGAAAAGAAGAGCTTTTGACATCATGGGGGTGGAGAGAAAGAGAAAGGGAATTATTGAGATGATGGTGATTCCAATAGTGTTATTGTGTTATTGAGTTGAGATGAGATGGGGTTGAAGAGGTAGCTGGGAGGCGGAGACTTTCCTTGAAACTTCTTGTTCCTCCAGTGGCGCCCTTGAATGGAAGAAAGGATATATTGGGATTCAAAGTGAGGAGAATAGAAGGAAAAACAAAAAAAAGAGAGTGCAGATTCTGCAGGTGAAGGGTACTAGTTCTGGTGTAGTTGAATCGGTAAAGAAGAAGCAAGAGTTCAGTTGCTGCTCTCAAGTCCGTAACACTGAATTCCCTGTTTTATAGGATCCAACAGCCCAAACCGGAAAGTTTACAATATCATTCTCTATTAAAGAAAATAAAAATAAAAATAGTATGGGTCTTATTTATTTTGGGGAAAAAAAGATATGAAAAAATTGGAGTAGTGTAAAGGATGAAAGCGGGGGTTGTATAGGTGGTGTGAAGGCGGAAGAATACGGGTCGCCGCATCCATGCGATTGAGACACGTTGCACATGTGGTCCCACATGAACGATGGACAACAATGAGACAAGATCTAACGGTGAATATACATGGTTGAAGATGGTGGGATGTGAGTCACGTGAGGCCCAAGATACCCGGCTCCTTGCCAGTAGTCCGTGAAATCGGTTTGACTAACGAAGGTGATATTTTTCCATGGGATTGGGATTATTCTAAATGAATGGGTGAAGGAATGTGGGAGGGTAATTTGGTGATTTGCGAGTGGTGAGTGGTGAAGGAACAAAGAGGGAGGGAGGAAGAGTTGATGTTGTGCAGGGGTGGTGGGTGAGTCATGTGTATGCGTGGGTCAATAACTTTTTTTAAGCAGTGACAATGTTTTTATTTTTGTTCCCAAATGATTATTATATTTAACTTTTTACAGCTAGAGGTAGAAGTTAACGTGGCGGGCAACCTAGAATTTGCGGCCATTTACAATTGGACTAATTGGACTCTGTACGTCTCTGGGTTTTTTCTGCTAACTGTTATTTCGAGATGTCCCAACTCTACGCGCTATACAACACGTGCTAACTACATACTACACTCTACACTACTGGAAACTGGACTAAAATAGTACAACATTTTTTGTTTTACTACTCACCACCTTATCACTTCCCAATTTAACATCTATTTCTCTTGTTTTTTTTTTATTATTATTCTTTTTACGGAACCTATATATAATTTTCTAATAACTCTGAAAACGAAAAAGTATTCTTCATTTTAAAAGCAATCGTTAAATTATTTCAGTCCTTTCCGAATCTCGTATATCACTGACTAAAATTAGTTAATCAGCCACCCCTCACAGTTTCACAGTTTGTGTTTGGATAAACATTTATTTAAAAATCATTTATTCATTTTCATGAAAAATAATTATACAATTACACTATTTTTTATTTTAACATAAGTGAAGGTTATTTGTATTATATTACTTAAAATTGCTTTTTAATATATAATTGTTGAAAGCCATATGAGTTACATATTATAATAAAAGATATAAAAAAATTATTCATCGGATCTATTTGATAGTGATATTAAATCAATGGACCACTAATAAAACTATTTAAAGGACCAGTCAAACAGTGCGTAGTTGCACACGTTAAATTTATGTTTTATAATAAAGAATATTGGTATACAGTATTTTTTTTTAAGTATAAAAAAATATCGTAAATTCAAAAATTATATTCGTTTGTAATTAATGTCCCTAACATGTATCAATAGAAATACATTGATAAAAGGTGACGAACTTTATGTGATAATGACAAGGATATTTGTTCTTAATTTTCTTTCTTTAAAACATGCTTTAGAGATCGATCTAATTTTGACGTACGAAACTTGAAATAATAAAAAATAAAAATAATGATGTATAGATAAGTAAAAGTATTTATTTTCAATAAATTATAAAATTTACGACAAATATATTGCCAAAAAATTATTCAACAGAGCTAGTACTTCGTGACTTAACTAATCGTCCTGTTTTTATCATATGTCTAAAGTATGTTGATGGTCTTACATAATTATAGGAAGGTTAATTAGTTATCACAAAAAGTTAAACCAAAAGATTTGTTTTTTCAAGCATGTGATTTGAGTATTTGTTTAAAAGCGATAAAGAGGACTTGCAACAAGTAAAATACATAAGGAGAGTTTATAAGATGAGCATAACAATATTTAAGGGTTCACTTAAAAAATAACACGTTAGATGATAGAGGACATTTTTAGTATGAAGTAGTAATTGAAATGATAGAAGTCATTTGTATCCCTAAATGTTAAAGAAATGAGTTTCAATATTTGGTTCTTGAATATTTAAAAACTCATCTACACCGAAGACTATACTCATAACAAAATTTTCAAATAGAAATGTGCATATGTTTCACTCTTAGGTTTAATTTGAAGTACCATCATAGAGTTGAAAGGTTTTAAAGATAAAGCATTCCAAAAGTTACCTAGTCTTGTGGTAATTAGTACTAACAATTACTTAAATCCTCTTCGTAAAGTTATATTTTACTATAAAATTTCTATATATAGAGACTATCATCATTTGACATTTTGTTTTGTTGAAACACACTCCATTAAAGCTGCACAACAACTACAACCCACATAGAACATTATTATGTGGTTCAGAGAGCATGTTTTTACCTAATTTTTCATATCAGCTTTACATGTGTGTCATTTCTCTTTTCCTTTGATTTATTCTCTAGGAGTAGTCCTTATGTTTTCAACATTTAATTCTTTCTATTTTTCTTTATTTTCTTTTTATCAATTCATGTTAATTTATTTTCCTTTGCATTTTTACAATTCTTTTCATTTACTTTTTCACCTTTACATTCTTGTATTTATTTTAAAGTCGTTAATGCATGTGTTTAAGTTTTAACCTTTTAACATTTCAAAGTTATTTACTTTCTTCCACTGGCTATCATCTCAATTTAAAAGCTTTCTTCTACGTATTAATTGTATATGTCCAAGTTTTTGTCCATTAATAATAAAGTATTTTTCTTGAATAAATTTTAAGTTTTTATCCAATTTGAGTTTTATATATAAAAAATTGTCTAAAGAAAATATTTCATGATCAATGGTGATTCTTAATAAAAATTAATCATTGATACCTTATATTAACATAATTAAAAAAAACTTTAATTTCACCTAGTGAATAATTAAACTGTGAAGTTTTTGAATATTGAATTTACCCAACCCATGCATTGTCTACAAATTTAATCATTTATCAAAAATCAGAAAATTCATACTACTATAGTGGAATTCAATTTTAATAAATTCAATACTAAATGTGTTTGATAAATTTGTGAAATTAAATTATTTTAATAATTAATTATTTTGTATAATAATTAATTTATAATATATTATAATTATTATCAATTTTTCATTAGGATAAATTAAAAAAATTATTTGAAAATAATTATGTTGATTTAAATAAATAAAAAATAGCCTTCATATATGTGAGAAAATAGTGTGTATGAAATTGAAAAAAAATAAATATAATACAAATTTTTAGATTCTTAAAACTAACTTTTATATATATACTTAAAAAAATCATCTTACTAAAAACACTATAAGAAAATCTTAAATTATTGACGGATATTTACCGACGGATATGTATACATCAAAAAATAAGTAATTACTTGACGAAAATTACTAAGGAATTTAAAGTAGTTGTAAAATTTTACCGACGATATATCCATCGATAATGAATAATTAATTATCCGTCGATAAATCCATCGATAAATTCGTCGGTAAATAAATAAATAATTACCAACGGATATATCCATCGATAAATCAATCGACAGATATATCCATCATAATTATTTATTCATTTACTGATTAATTTAAAATATATTTTTAAAAATTAATATTAAATTTAAAAAATTAATATATATAAAATTATATAATAATTATTTAATTTTAAATATATTTTAATAAACATAACACACACTTTTACTATCGAATGCGCTCTCACATCTAACATATAAATATATAACTATATAAATATATATAAATGTATCAAAATATATAAATATATTTATATTTATATATTTACACGAATATAATTTATTTGTATATAAATATAATTTATTTATAAATTATAATTAGAAAAATTTAATAATCTAACTATAAATTAAATAATTTAATTAAAAATAAAAATAAATAAAATGGTGTCCAGTGATAAATTATGGACGGATTTTATTCGTCGAAAAAGGTGTCAAACGTTCAACTTCTTTTTTAAACAGTTTATTTTAAGTAAAAAGGCAATTGAAATGAAACTTTAAATATTACTCATTAATTAAATTCTTAGTAGAAAAATAATTTTAACTTATAACTACAAATTGAAAGTGACAATTGCTACTTTTTAAAAGAAAAACAAAAATAGCATGCAGAGGCATTACAATAAGAATCCCAACTAGATTTATGTCGATTTACCCAAAACATATAAAATATAATTCTTCAACTTTAAGAGTCCTGGTTAGAAGTCATCCTTTGAGTTAATTTTAACAATAGAATCATTAAAACTCAGAACAATTTTTACCATCATTAGTAACACGATTGAAGGTATAATGTTATTTTGACATACATCAAACCATTCTTAAAATTACCAGCTTATTATGCTATTTTTTGCTGTTTTCATAAGCCGAAAGAAACTAAGTGTTGAATAAAAGA